ACATATGATTCTGTGTCTGCTTGCCCCATTGGATGTTTCCAGATGCACCTGCTAAAACACATTCCTGCCTGAACACTGCCTACCTTTGGGTACCACTCCCCCCTCTTGACTTTCAGCTTTGTTCTATTTCGGTTCTCAAAATTTATAAACTTGGCCCAGAATATGATCAGAATGTAATGTCCTTTTTTTTTTTTAATCAATGAAGATATCTGTTTAATATATTTTTTGTTTATCTTCCTCCCAAAACACTTCTACTGTATCTCCAAATCCTTCCTTTCTAAAAAAATAAAAATAAAAATAAATGAGGCAGCTAGAAATGGAGATAATATTGACAAAGGTCAATAATTTGGAATTACACCAGCCTTGCTTCCCCCCCCCCCCAACCACCCTATTATACTCATGGTTCTGTATGGTTTTTAACTTTTTCTCCTAATTTTAATTTATTCTTTCCGAGTTTTAAGTGTTTCATCATAGTGGCTTGGATTTTTTCCAATCCCATGATTATCTCTCTATTAAAGCCTTAATACAAAAAGAAATAAAAAAAAACAGACTGCTCATTACTTTGATTTGTAGCAAAGAGAGAATGGAACATTATCGCTAGAGTGTTTCGAGAAACCATATTTACATTTGCATCAGCTCAATTTAGGTGCCTGATTAGGTTGCGTGTTATGATGAAGATGCACTTACCAGTCAGAGGGAAGTGGCCTGGTCTAGATAATGAGCAGAAGACTTCAAGTCAGGAGCCCTGAATGCTATTTCTGGCTGTGACTCTCTACCTCTCTGACCTTGAACAAATAAGTCCGTCTCATTGCCTTGGTCCTAATAGCTTCCTATGCCTTATAGGGCTGCTATGAGAAGTGGATCACCTAAGTGTTTATTATGGAGTAGGAGCTATGGAGTGAAGCAAGGGAGGGGGGTTGGGGCTCACAAATGGAATTGGAGATGGGACCTCTGCTCTGATGGCTCCACTAGCCTGCTAAGAGACAGTGTCTGAGAAGTGGGCTGACTGCTCAGATGTTGGTCTGACAGGGCTTGAGGACATGATGAGAGGTTAGTTAGTGAAACTTAAAAGCTTGCCAAAATATTGGGTGAGATGATCAAACCATCCTGTTACTTAGGAAGCCTTAACAAGAGTACATACTGTCTTTCTTCTCATAACGGTGCCTTCCTGAGGTGTCCATGTCACACCTGTGACCAGGACTGGCAGTGACCGGCTTCTGTAGGACATCCTAAGGAAGGCCTGCTCAGCTGGCGATCCCTGACTTTAGGGGAAAGATCTTCCCCTGTGGTGACTCTAAAACATGCTTGAAACAAGCTAGTTCCCTCTGTTAAGCCTGCAGGACCAGGAAGAGTGTGCCCAGAGAAGATTCATGCATTCTTTGGTTGAGTTCCTCTCCCAGCAGAGAGGTAGATGGAAGGGTGAAGGTTAATATGGTTTTAAAAAATAAAGAAAAATAACAATATTTTCTTTCTTTCTGTTGGATACTTAGACCTCAGCAGACATCACAAAGGCAGCACCTGTGGCTCTCATCTTGTTACCATCTTGTATTGGCTACTATTTGCTGAGAACAACCTAATAATGATAGGTTGTATTGATTAAACACTGTTCTAAGTGCTTTACATCAACCAACACATTTAATTTTCACATTAATTTATTAGTGTTTCACATTAATTTATCAGGGCTATTTCTATCCTGATTTTACAAAGAAGGAAATTGGGGAGTAAAGATATTAAATAATTTGCTGAGCATTACACAGCTAGGAAGCCACAGCTGCAGGCTTAGAAAACAGGTCTGCTAGCTCCAGAACCTTCCCTCAGAAAGGTGAAAACAAACTTGAAATGGAGAGAGCAACAAACTCTGGGGCCTGTGGTTAGAAAGGTCAGAGCTATTCTAGAGCAACAAGTCATCTCCTGAAAGTGAGAGCACAGGCTGATATCCCAACAAGAATGCGTGGGATCCAGAGACTAACATGAGAACCTTGCTGTGGGCTAGTTCTGACCTGTTCACACAACTGCAAGGGGGTCTTTTTCCTGATGCGAGAGAGCTTCCTAGGATTCAGCACCAAGCATCCCACCTGTTGGAAAGCCTTATTCTTTGCCATTACAGTTCATCTTCTTTCTTCTATGGAAAGCACATGAGGATACCATTTGTTTTCTATGGACCAAAAGCTTTCTTAGAGAATTGAATGAATTCTGTTTGAGACTGAATATTGCACCATAATACATTTCTGATACTCTCTGTAAGCTTATTCTCCCTCTACCGTTCTGGATAAAGTGCCCTTCTGGTCATGTGGGTGACCCTCCATGTGTAGTTTAACAATTTCTTGTGACCCTCTTTTGTCAGAGGAAGCAAGGTCATGAATTTGCCAAAGGGAGTTGCCACTAGAGACCAAAGGAGAAGGAAGATAAGAGGGAATTCCCACAGGAACAGGGAGGTGGATCACAATACAGACCCTACAACAAGTCTCCCTGGAGCCACCATTTTGCTTGATAACTAAAGGCAAAACTCCCAGAATGCTCCTGGAGCAGCTGTGTGTGACCATTCTTTGGTCCCCCACCAAAAAAGGGTCACAAATCAGAATGCTGCATGTCTGTCAGAATGAATGCTTACTGCCTCCCCAAGTAAAGGTTCATGTGCAAGAACTGACCCCTGAGAAGCAGAATGGCGCCGTGTAAGAGCTTGTCACATTAAATGATCAGAAAGCCATTACCGACTGATAGAACGGTTGATAGTGCAGAAATGATTACACACTCTCCTCCCCATCAGCCAGCTCAGAGCTGCCACCAGGCCCTCCATGGCTTCCAGGCTGGGGCTGGGACTTGATGAGAAGAAATCTCTATCGAAGAAGGAAACTGATGGTTGAATCCCTCCGGTTCTTACAGCGCTTGAAGTGGATGGTGGTGGTAGGATTCTCAGCCTATTTCAATTCCAATGTACTTTTAAAAAATATATTTGTGGGATAACAGTGCTTCTAAAAGATTTGGGGTAAACTGAAACATCTAAGGTAAATTAAATCTCTTTCGTGGACTGGAGGAATTTGCTGCTTAAACACTCTCTCTCTCTCTCTCTCTCTCTCTCTCTCTCTCTCTCTCTCTCTCTCTCTCTCTCTCTCTCTGGAGCAGGATTTTGTTTCTATGTAACTCTCCAACCCCTTCACTCTCCAGGCCCTTCGTCTGCACGTGCCTATGAGAATCACATGCCAGGAGATAGGCCTCTAAAATGTATGCTCTTACCAGTTGGGAATCTTCCAGTGCTGAATACCTTAAAACCTTGTGTCTGAGACACCATACTGACCCAAACAAACACCATGGTTATTGCAGACATTAAAAAAACAAAATAACAACAACAACAAAAACCCAACCTCTTAGAAATAGAACAATGCCTAAATATATTTCAAGAACTCAGATTCTGGAGTCTGACCATTTGGGAACTAAAGCTGGCTCACCATTTACTAGCTGTGTGTCCTTTGGTAAGTCCCCTAACTTCTCTGGACCTCCATTTCCTTATTTGTAAAAAGGGAGAAGAATTGTTCTTCCGGCATAGAGTTGCTGGAAGGATTAAATGAGTTAATGTACTGCCCTGGCCAGGTGGCTCAGTTAGTTGGAGCATCACCCACCCCATGCACCAAAAGGTTGCGGGTTCCAACTCCGGTTGGGGCATGTTTGGAGGCAGCTGGTTGACGTTTCTCTCTCTCTCCCTCACCCTCTTCCTCTCCCCGCCTCAAATCAATACAAGTAAAATAAATGAGTTAATGTACATAACAAAGTGCTAGATCTAGCAAGAGGTCCAGCCCTAGAGTATGTTCATATGACTGGACACATGTTAACCATGTGTCACATGGTTAACAACAACCTCCAGGTGCTGGAAGGATAGGCGTTTTTCTGGTTTTGTTTCTCCTTGTGCTTTTAAGATACTTTCATATTTTTGCATTGGGAACTAATTTGTAATTGGAAAATAAATGTCTTTGATAAGAGAAAAAAGTTCAGCCAAGCTCCCAGGATTGTTTGAAGACTAGGGGCATGGTGAGGGGGAAAGGGAGTAGGCGAGAGGGCAAATGGGCAGAGGAATGAAGGAGACATGGGAACTCAGGGATGCACTCCTGGGAGCCCTGACATGAGGATCTTGAGGTGCCTCCTGCTTTACAAGTGCTGGTCCAGCAGTGGGGTTTTTATCCCTGCTTTGTCCCTTGTCACATGGGCCATATGCAGCCGTGGGCAAACTACGGCCCGCGGGCCGGATCCGGCCCGTTTGAAATGAATAAAACTAAAAAAAAAAAAAGACCGTACCCTTTTATGTAATGATGTTTACTTTGAATTTATATTAGTTCACACAAACACTCCATCCATGCTTTTGTTCCGGCCCTCCGGTCCAGTTTAAGAACCCATTGTGGCCCTCGAGTCAAAAAGTTTGCCCACCCCTGGCCATATGGGTCTCATGCTTGACTTTCTGCTCTCTGAGGCTTCTGAGGATGGGCACTGATGGGCCAGGAAGTACAGCCTGGTTCCATAAGCAAGGCCAGCTGAGGCTGTGGTGTTGACAGGAGTGAGGGCAAGCTCGTCCCTGTCCCCATGGAGCTCCCCAGACCTCTGGAGCAGGAGCAGGAGCTTATCCTGCCTTCATTTGCATGTCTGGGTAATTAACAACTCATAAAAGTATCTAACCCATTAGTTAAAACCCAGCCCCAGCTTTTGACTGTACCCTCCTGCCGCAGCACTGGCCACACGCTGACTCTATGCTGCCTCATTTGTCCTCAATTTATAAGCAGCGGAACCTATAAATAGAAACCCTTTTGCTAAGTTCCCCAGGAGGCATCAGCAGGTTTTCCAGCCTGTATGTGTTTTCTTCTTTCTTTTTTTAAACACCAACATGGTAGGCTTGTTTTTCCTGCCCGCTGCTCCTCCAGTCCTCACTTCTAACTCAGTCTGTGGGCATTCCAGCTGGCTCAGTCGCCCGCCCGCAGGACCTGTCCAGGTTGGGTTCTGAGGGAGGCCCCACTCACCTGTAGATCCTGTACCTGGTGGTAAACCCCTGGCGGTACCGTTCCACGAAGTCAGTGTACTCCTGAGCACGGTGGAAGGGGCCCCGGTCCGTGAGCAGCCAGTCCAGGGGTGGCTGGCCAGCTGAGGACGCATGCTGTTCGGGGACTACAGCAGCAGCCGTGGCCGAGACAGCCAACACCCAACCAGGGAGGCCCAGCACCAGCAGAGTTGCCCATGGGGCCGCCGCCGGCCGGAGCCCTCTAAACCGAGTGCTGCTCTGCCACCTCATGCTTCTCCCAGGCAGTTGGTGTCTTCATTCTCTCGCCACACTCTCCCCCTCTGAGCCTCTCCTCCAGGGCCCCTGGAACCAGAAAAGTACACACAGAGATGTCAGGTGAACATCCTGGTCTCACCAATGGGCCTGTGTCATCAAATATCAGTGGGCAGGACACATCCTAGCAAGAGCCCACCCAGAAGTTGGGGCCAAATGTAAACATCTCTCTATATAAAAGCTTAAGTGACCAGATGACCGGCCAACCAGCTGACTGGCCAGAGTCTCAGCATCTGTGCAGGATGCTCAAATCAGTCCCTGGTCATAGGATAGAGGGACAGAAGCATGAGTGCCTGGACCTCCAGAGTCACTCCTCCACTCCAGCTCGGAGATATTGGTCATTTACATGTGTGGGGTGATTCTGAGAAGTTGCCCCAGTTAACACACAGTAAGAGAGGTTTATCAGCATTATTATTATTATTATAACTAGAGGCCCAGTGCACAGATTCATGCACCAGCAGGGGGCCCTCCGCCAGGCCTGTAGGGATCGGTCTGAAACTGGCTCTTTGACATTCCCCAAGGGGTCCTGGATTGTGAGAGGGTGGTTCTCGGGTGACACACTCTGGAATTAGGCTCCCTCCTCTCTGGTTCCAGTGCTTCACCCAAGAACTGCAGCTGCCAAGTCACTGCAGCTCAGCAGCTCCTGCGTTGAGCGTCTGCCCCCTAGTGGTCGGTGTGCATCATAGCTACTGGCCGGTCGGCTGGTTGGCCGGTTGGCCAGTCACTTAGGCTTTTATATAGGGAGAGGTTTACATTTCACTGGAACTCAGAGGAATTAAGCTAGGAAGATGCAGAGGTAGGATATGAACCTAGGTCTGGCTCCATGTTCAACCCTTGTCAAAGCATGCTGTGCTGTCTAAGGAGCTAGAGCAGGCAGCAAGGCAGACCCAGGCATAAGGGACTGGGTGAGAGAAGAATAATGAGGCCATGCCTGCTCCTACTGGATCTTAAAAGATATTATAAAATTCCAGTAATTAAAATAGGTGATACTGGCCCACAAATTGAATGGGCAGATCAATGATATAGAACAAATGGCTCAAAAATAGAGCTCATTATACATGAGAACTTAATATATATTTAAAAAAGCATTACAGACTAATTGGGTAAGGGATGGAATATTTTATCCATCATATTGGAAAATTAGTTCTAGATGGATTAAAAAGTTAAATATAAACAGTAAAATCATAGAAGGGAGAAAATTCCCCAAATGTTTTATAATAAGCATTCATTCCTTTTAGATCATGGGGGAAAGTGTTATAAATGAAAAGGAGGAATCAGCCTTACTCATGGGTTGTAGCATATTTAATAGGATACAATCTGATGAGGACACCCAGAATATTTCTCATTTAATCATTCGCACATTCATTTATTGAGAAGCATCCATTGAGGGCGCTGTGCTAAACATTAACAGTACAGAAGCAGGTGCTCATGCCATTATCTGAAACTCTACCAGTAGTAATTACTTCCTCTTATAAAACATTGTTTCTAAAGGCATGTTGCTGGAGGGGAGAGAAGGATGCTCACTTTGGAGGCTGGGCCACTTGACACAGCTGTCAGGTGGATGTGCATGAATGGGTGGGAAGTTACAATTCTAAAATGGCCACAAGTTTCCCACGTCCATCAGTGCATGCCCTTCCCCTTGAGTGTGGACAGGACCTGTGAATAAGATGAGTCACCACTCCCATAATCAGGTCACTAATCAGTTGACCATCAAATGGAAAGTATCCTGGGTGGGCCTGACCTAATCAGGCAAACCTTTAGCCATAGGTGACGTTTCAGAGACAAGCTCCTGCTGGCCTGGAAGAAAGCAAACAGCCATGCTGTGAATGGCCTATGAGGGCCATGCGGCAAGGGGTTTTAGGTGGCTTCTAGGAGCTGAGAGCAATTCCCAGTCAATAGCTAGTAAGAAAATTAGAAAGTTGGTCATATGGCCACAAGAAAGTCAGCTCTGTCAACAGCCACATGAACCCTGATCCCCAGATGAGAACTGTTTCCTTTATTTCAGTCTGGTGAGCATAGTAAATTTGTTTTTATTGTTTTATGCCTTTAAGTTTGTGGTGATTTGTTAGACAGCAATAGAAAAACAATACAGACTTAGCAAAAGACAATGGTACCCCTCCCCAATTCTGCACAAGGCCTGGCCTGGTGAGAGTTCTTTATGTTCCCCGAAGACTGACTATTCTTCTCAGCATGAGAAAAAGTGAGTGTGGCAGTTTCTGGAGCAGAGTGACGCCCCTAAATCTGATCACATCCACGCCTTCCCTGTCTGGATTATGGATCCCTCTAGATCAGCAGCCACATCTTCGTTTTGTAATTCCAACACTCAAGGGCCCTAAAAAAAAATTGTGAAGAATCAATTGCATGCAATGAGCCAGTGACACTGTGTGGCCTCGGTCCAGCCACTGAACCTCTTGGTGCCCTGTGCTATAATCTGGGGATTGGTAGCTGTCACCTCCCCTTCGAGTCAAGGGTTTTGTAAGGACAGGTGACAGCGTGTGGGAAAAAGAGAGCCCTATTGAGTCCACACGTGCTTCTTGTCATTCTTTGTTTGTAATTATGCCTTCTCGGAGCTCACATTGTGCTAAACCTGACTGGGTGTAGCAGTATCGGCTTTAGAATCAAATGCTTGTGATTGCGGGGCGAGTCTGCTGAGCGCAGCAACAACGCCCAAATCCAGAGCCAACCGCACATCTGAAAAGCCAGGCCTTGGATCATGTGGTTTCTGCTCCATAGGTTTCCTCATGGTCTCAAAACATTTTCACTAAATAAAAATATTTTTAAGAAAGCGAGGTTTTAAACTAGTTTCAAAACTCTTTTTTAAAAAAAGTCTTATAATTTGTTGATTTGCCTTAATTTAAAAAAGACAAAATAATTGCTGCATTGACAGTTATGTAAAAATTAGGCTCCTCCAGGGAATAGCTTTTGGCCATTCCCTGTACATACTCCACAAATAATATGACTAGAAATGTTTTTATTAGTGATCTCTGAAGAAATTTTTAACCGTCTACATTCTCATGACTTCTGGTGACATCACTAATATTCAGCAGGTTAAATAATTAGCACCTTCCCCGTGTCCTTTGTCCTAATGCTGACTATGTGAGTAACCCCCCTCATTATAGGCCCATAGATTAAAATGATGGTGAGGCTAGCTCTTCGATTAAAAAAAGTATAAATTTTCTTGTGAAAGCCCAATAATTTCATTTACTCTGACCATATTTAAGACAGAGTTTTACACGGACCCAAACAATAAATTCGCTTTGGACTAAAGGTGCAAGTGAAGTAAGTCCTGGCTTTTGCTTTGTGAGTACATTAGCTCAGATCTGTCCATGAATTAAACGCATTATAGTTTTGTCAGTAGAGAAAATCAGGTGCAAATGAAATCACACGAGAAGGAGCCCGTGCAGTCTTCCAAACGGGAGAGCTTATGAGACTCCTGTCTCCACCACTTGGAGGTGATCCCGGCTGTGGCCTTCTGGGGACTCTTGTGTCCTCCTGTTCATCTCAAACTCCATTTATCTTTGGTGTGTCAAGACAGCCAGTTAGAATGTGGGCATCCACGGCTTGTGTACTAAATCCCAACAAGTGAGAGAAACTTCCCCCTTGGAAAATTACTGCAGAGCAGGGGTTACATGTTAGAGGAGTTAAGGATATGGCTAACCTATTGTTAGAGGCCAGAGGAAGAGGAGAAACAGGTGTGAAATCAGTATTGTAATTAACAGAATGGTTAATCTTGCTAATAATTATCATTGGTAAACACCAGAATAAATCATTTAATATTTGTGTGGAACTTCCTGCTTAAGAAGCATGGATAATAAAATCACACTCAGTCTTCACCTCCTAGATTGTCTGCTCCCCCTTTCACAGATGGGAATACTGAGGCTAGGATTACCAGATCATGTATTTCAGTGGCAGATCCAGGTCTACACACTCCAGATCCTATCCTATTTGCTCCTCACTGCACCACTGGCATGATTTATAGCTATAAAACCTTGCGGGCTTTGCCACTTACAAGTTGGTGCCTGTGGGAGTAAGTCTCTCCCCTCTGGGAGTCTCCCTTTGGTCATCAGCAAACTGATTTAAGAGGTAAGATGAGCCCTCTGGTCTTGCCCAGTGCTCAAATTCCATTATTCCAGGCAAATGCAAGGTCACAAATAGAAGGGGAGAGGCATTAAGATTTTGTTTTTAGGAGGAAGCTCTGTGTTTCAGAAAGGGAGTGAAGCATAAGAGAAGGCAGGGATAAAGCAGAAATCCCTGCCTGATGGAGCAGTGACATTTAATAAAGTGATTAGGCAGTGACATTAAATAAGTTCTCAAGCCATTTGAGTGGTTAATTGGCCAACTCTATTGAGGAGGTGTTTTCCTGAATACATCTGAGGGTATCAGTGGGGAAAACTCGCAGAAAGTGTTTTGTTCTGATCAGCTGCCACATTTTGATGCAAAACCTCTTGTTTTGAGCAGAAAAAGAGGGTGGACAGGAGAAATGGCAGAACGTTCTGGGGTGGGGACTCCTACAGGGCAGGGGTGGACGTGGGTGCTATTAGATCAATGACTTTTATTCTCCCCTCCTGTTAGGGTGATCTGCCACCCTCAACAGAGACAAAGTATGGTGCTTTTACTCCAATAATAGGTCAGAGAGCTGCAGCAGGGCCACGATTCCCCTACTGAACCCAGGCAGAGGTTACACCCAGACCGCTACTGTCCTCTCCAGGCTCTGTGATAATGACCTTCAGTTTCACCTCCAGATCTGGCGTGGAACTGGCAAGCGATATTTCATGCATTTCCCCACCGCTGGTCAGGACATGACTTAAAATAGGTGAGACACATGGATATCTTCCCTGTATAGAATCAGGTTACCCACATTAATGATTATTCAAGCAAAGATAAGAGCTAATCATAATTTCTATTTACTAAATATTCTTTCATTCATCAGAGACCATTAAGAGGAGAGGCTGCGAAAGGAGAGGGACTTGCTGGCGCCACTCCCCAAGGAATGAAACTTTAATATTCACAGTCTAAGGTCTACACTTGGT